ATGCTTAACCACTTCCATACAGGGCACTTTTACCCCTTCCTGCCCAGGCCAATTTTCAGATTCCAGATAAAGCAAAACCTCCATATGAACTTCTAAAGAATAATGAGGAAAACAGTTTTGGTCCTTGGACAGAAGTTCAACAAAAGGCCTTAGAAACTTCCTCTGTATTTATTTCACCTGAAGAAGATCAAAAATGTGGAATGATTGAAACGCATTGGGATAATTTCCTCTTCCCTCTTGAGTGGTTTCTTACTTTGTGAAGAAAGCTCTCTTGTAAAAATTGTCAGAGCGAAATTTTCATTTTAAGATTATGTATGTCTTACAAGTATATGTATGTAATAAAGCTGTTATTTCTTCTATGAAAATATCTTCTTGGGTATATGTGTAATACCTCAATTGCTGAAATGAAGCCCCATTAGGAGTCTTCTTGTATAGGCCATGTACTGTAGATAAGCAGAGATTAATAGAGGCTCTTAAAGAGAAGTTTTTCTGGGAAAAAATGGAAGAAACTGTAGACAATGTGATTTAATCTTACCTTATTTGTGCTCAAGTAAACCCCAGACCAAAGGGGCAGAACCTCCTTTACAAAGTATTCCTCCAGCTGATGGTCCATGGTCCACATTACAACTTGAAGATATAGGACCACTGCCAACAGGAAAAACAGATTCAGATATGCTCTCATAGTTGCTGATGTTTTTTCAAAATGGGTTGAAATTTTACCTGTACACACAGACAATGCACTGACAATTGCAAGAATGGTAATTAATCATGTTTTTCCAACTTGGGGGATTCCAATGAATGTCAGTTCAGATCGTGGATCTCAGTTTACAAGTAAAGTAATGCAGGCAATGTGTAAAATTTTTGGAATCCAGCAAAGATTTCATGTTCCATACCATGCGCAATCTGCAGGTATTGTGGAAAGAATGAACAGGACTATCAAATCCAGAATTGCTAAAATGTTACTAGAAAAAGGACATACAAGGGTAGATGCTGTACCTTTTTGTTCTGATGAGTATTAGAAGTACAACATCCTCATTTACACAATACAGTCCATTTGAACTGATGACAGGTAGAAAAATGCCACTTTGCACAAATACCGTATTTGCCGGCATATAAGACGACTGGGCGTATAAGACGACCCCCTACTTTTCCTGTTAAAATATAGGGTTTGGGCTATACTCGCTGTATAAGACTACCCCTCTTCCAACGCACACCAAAAATTAAAAAACATCAGATTTTATTTCAATATGGTATGGTATTCCAATGATGAGGCACTATTCCTCCCACTGACACCAATGATGGGGCACTATTCCTCCCATTGACACCAATGATGGTGCCCCATCATTAGTGTCAGTGTGTGAGGAATAGTGTCCCATCATTAGTGTCAGTGGGAGGAATAGTGCCCCATCATTGGTGTCAGAGCAACAAATCGTGCTCCATCATTGGTGTCAGTGGCAGGAATAGCACCCCATCATTGGTGTCCGTGGGAGGAATAGCGCCCCATCATTAGTGTCAGTGTGTGAGGAATAGTGTCCCATCATTAGTGTCAGTGGGAGGAATAGTGCCCCATCATTGGTGTCAGAGCAACAAATCATGCATCTCCATCATTGGTGTCAGTGGCAGGAATAGCACCCCATCATTGGTGTCCGTGAGAGGAATAGCGCCCCATCATTGGTGTCAGTGGGAGGAATCGTGCCCCATCATTGGTGTCAGAGCAAAGAATCGTGCCCCATCATTGGTGTCAGTGGGAGGAATAGCACCCCATCATTGGTGTCAGTGGGAAGAATCGTGCCCCATCATTGGTGTCAGTGGGAGGAATAGCGCCACATCATTGCCGTCAGTGGGAGGAATAGTGCCCCATCATTGGTGTCAGTGGAAGGAATAGTACCCCATCATTGGTGTCAGTGGGAGGAATAGCGCCCCATCATTTGTGTCAGTGGGAGTAATAGAGCGCACCATCATTGGTGTCAGTGGGAGTAATCGTGCCCCATCATTGGTGTCAGTGGGAGGAATAGCGCCACATCATTGGTGTCAGTGGGAGGAATAGTGCCCCATCATTGGTGTCAGTGGAAAGAATAGCACCCCATCATTGGTGTCAGTGGGAGGAATAGCGCCCCATCATTTGTGTCAGTGGGAGTAATAGCGCACCATCATTGGTGTCAGTGGGAGTAATAGTGCCCCATCATTGGTGTCAGTGGGAGGAATAGTGTCCCAACATTGGTGTCAGTGGGAGGAATAGTGCCCCATCATTGGTGTCAGTGGGAGTAATAGTGCCCCATCATTTGGTGTCAGTGGGGGGGAGGAATAGTGCCCCATTGTTGGTGTCAGTGGGGGGAGGAATAGTGCCCCATCGTTGGTGTCAGTGGGAGGAATAGTGCCCCATCATTGGTGTCAGTGGGAGGAACAGTGCCCATCATTGGTGTCAGTGGGAGGAATAATGCCCCATAATTAGTATCAGTGACACCAATGATGGGGCACTATTCCTCCCACTGACACCAATGACACTTGCTGACTCCTGTTCTAGTATGGTACTGCTGCAGCCAGCATATGTGGTTGCAGCAGCACCTCTGCACTGCACACTTACCCTCACTCGATTTTCGCGGGTCCGCTCGGCTCCGCCTCCTCGCCCGTGATTGGCCGCCTGTGTACCTTTCCTGAGCTACAGTTCTGGCGGCCAATCACCGGTGAGGAGGCGGAGCCGAGCGCCAGGAGTGAGGGAGTGGCCGGGAGTGACTGAAGGAGCAGCGCTTCCTGGATGGATCGTCATGGGAGCCAGGTAAGAGACTGCAGCCCTCTGCCCCACCCCTGTATTTGGTGTCCCTTCCGTCAGAAGGGGGGGGCGGAGGCAGCACCGCGCGCCGCCCCCCTAAAAAGTGCCCCCTGACGTGTACCGGCGTATAAGACGACCCCCGACTTTTGAGAAGATTTTCAAGGGTCAAAAAGTCGTCTTATACGCTGGAAAATACGGTAAACCTTTTTTGTCAGAAAGAAGAAATTGGAAAAAACTAATGGTTACAGATGTTGCAAGATAATCTGAATATCATTTTGCACATGCAGCTTCTCATATGCAGAAAATGTTACTTCTACTCTCTTCACAATTTGAGAAAGGTGGACAAGTCATGATTAAAACCTTTAGGAAAAGCGGGCCATGGCACAGTAATTGGGTAGGTCCTTTTGAGATTTTGGACACACTAGATGTATTTTTCACAGAATTTTCACAGAATTGAGACCTCTCAATTCTGTGAAAAATGCATGGAGACAACAAAAAAATATGTGTCCACACTGATTAATGCAAATTGTTTATGCCAAGGTAATGACACCGCATCTCTTTTTCAGAAATGGCATCTGATAATCAAACATGGAGGGACAACAAACTCCAAGAAGAAATAATAACATCAGAAAATTGGAAAGAAAGAACATTAAAGTGTCATCACAGGACTGCTTTTTTCCCTAATGACATGTTCATTAATTAAAAATTACATGATGTTTTACATGACGTTTTTCCAAGAACAAATCTGAGACCCTACATAAAAGAGACTTGCTTTTACCCAGGAACAAGAGAGATTTTTCCAAGATACAGTGCATTGACACAGCCGCAGACCTTACTTGTATAGGCACTGAAGTTACTTGTTATATGGAACTGTATTTTTTCCATAATAACACTTTTGAAATACAAGCTAGAATAGAATCCAAAACAAAGTTTACAAAAATGCAAAGATCATATGTACATAATAATAGAACTGGTACATATGAAATGCAGTTTAACATATATGGGATTCTGGTCCATAGTTTTAGAAGGTAATGAGTCTACAACAGGGACGGACTGATAACTCATGGGGCCCCCGGGCAATAGGGGATCATGGGGCCCCTGTGTCCTTGCCCAACCTCAAAAAAGCCTATGACAAAGGTACCAGGGGCATCTCATGGGGCCCCCTACTGACTCCGGGCCCTCGGGCAGTGTCGAGTTTCCAAATGGTCAGTCCGCCCCTGGTCTACAACTTGGACTGGTGATGTAACAAGAGAAAGAGTAGGTTCCTCTTCTCTAGGAGGATCCAAAACAGATATTTGGTTTTTGACCCAATATTATTTATAGTTTATGAATCCTGGACACTTAAAAATTGCAGAAGATGAAAAAGGAAATGTAATTACAGTATGGAATTTTCAAATAACAAGAGGTTTAGTTCCCGTTAAAGTGAGGGTGACTATTACAGTTGTGGATTTGATTATTCCAGGCATAAAGGTATCTCCACAAGCTCTTAAAATTACCGAAGGAAAGGATAATTTAACTTTGATATGCACTACACAAATATACTTACCATATTTTCCGGCGTATAAGACGACTTTTTACCCCTTGAAAATCTTCTCAAAAGTCGGGGGTTGTCTTATACGCCGGTATATACGGCATGACACTTTTTAGGGGGGGGGGGCGGCGCGGTGCCGCCGCCGCTCCCCCCCTTCCAAGGGACACTAAGTACAGGGCTGGGCAGGGGCTGCTGTCTCTTACCTGGCTCCAGTCCCACGACGATCCGGTCCAGGAAGCGCGGCTGCTCCTTCATTTCAGTTCGGCCACTGGATGTTCGCGCGGCTGATTGGCTCCGCTTCCTCACTGGTGATTGGCCGCCAGAACTGTAGCTCAGGAAAGGCACACAGGTGGCCAATCACCGGCGAGAAGGCGGAGCCGAACGGCACCGCGAAAATCGAGTGAAGGAGCGGCCGGTAAGTGTGCCGTCCAGAGGTGCTGCTGCAACCACATATGCTGGCTGCAGCAGCACCATACTGGAACAGGGGCCAGCAAGTGTCATTGGTAGGAATAGTGCCCCATCAATGGTGTCACTGATACCAATGATGTGGCACTATTCCTCCCACTGACACCAATGATGGCGCACTTTTCCTCCCCCCCACTGACACCGACGATGGGGCACTATTCCCCCCCCCACCGACACCAACGATGGGGCACTATTCCGCCCCCCCACTGACACCAATGATGGGGCATTATTCCACCCCCCACTGACACCAATGATGGGATACTATTCCTCCCACTAACACCAATGTTGGGACACTATTCCTCCCACTGACACCAATGATGGGGCACGATTCCTCCCACTGACACCAATGATGGGGCACAATTCCCGCCACTGATACCAATGATGGGGCACTATTCCTGCCACTGATACCAATGATGGGGCACTATTCCTCCCACTGACACCAATGATGGGGCACTATTCCTCCCACTGACACCAATGATGGGGAACGATTCCCCCCACTGACACTAATGATGGGGCACTATTCCTGCCGCTGATACCAATGATGGGACACGATTCCTGCCACTGATACCAATGATGGGGCACAAATTCCTCCCACTGACACCAATGATGGGGCACGATTCCTCCCACTGACACCAATGATGGGGCACGATTCCTCCCACTGACACCAATGATGGGGCACTATTCCTCCCACTGACACCAATGATGGGGCACTATCCCTCCCACTGACTCCAATGATGGGGCACTATTCCTCCCACTGACACCAATGATTGGGCACTATTCCTCCTACTGACACCAATGATGGGGCACTATTCCTCCCACTAATACCAATGATGGGACACTATTCCTCCCACTGATACCAATGATGGGGCACTATTCCTCCTACTGACGCCAATGATGGGGCACTATTCCTCCCCACTGACACCAATGATGGGACACTATTCCTCCCTCTGACACCAATGATGGGGCACGATTCTTCCCACTGGTGTACATTGGAAGAAGGGTAGTCTTATACGGCGAGTATAGCCTAAACACTACATTTGAACAGGAAAAGTAGGGGGTCGTCTTATACGCCCAGTCGTCTTTTACGCCGGAAAATACGGTACCTCAGAATTCTCTATTAACCTGGAAGAGAAATGGTTAATTTTTGGGTAGTCTTCTCTATAGTTCAACTAATATAATTTGTAAGGGTAATTTTGGAAATAGATACTGGACAAATAATAACTTTAGTTATCATCAAAGTAGTCCAAATCTTAATGACACAAAGTACTATATATATGAGTGTTGCATAAAATTAGAAAATAATCCTATGAAATGTAATACTGTAAATGTTTTAGTTTTTTCTCCTGAGAAAACTAAGTGTGCCAATGGAAAATGTATTCCTGCCAGTACCTTTCAAATTAATCATTTCCGATCTAGACATCTCTTGAGAAAAAGACATTTTATGATTATACTTTGGAAATGTAACATTTCTGAATGGAAAGTTTCATCAAAGATCCCCAATGTCAAGAATATTTAGTTAATATGAAATTGGATAAGGATAAATGGTTTGGAACTAATATTAAAAATAATAACAGGAATAAACGAGGTATCATAGAAGGAATTCTTGGAGAAGTTGGTAGTTTTGGAAAAGGTTTTTTAGAAAATATGATAATGAAGACAGCTACAGGTATAGGCCCACCTATAGTCCATTTACAAAATATCACTTTAAATTTAATGGACAGTGAGCAACATTCTCACATAGCCAGGACATGTCTAGAGATACAGCAGAGTATTCTACCAATTTTAAAATCATTTCTCAAGCATTGCAAAGTGGAATAACTCTTCTAGGTATTTTGCAAAGCTTACCTAATGAATATGTATTTGCAAAAAATCATGCAGATTTATGGGTAAATAAGGGGGTAGGTTGTAATTAAGATGAATGTTATAGTACCTCAAAGATTCCTATAGCTGGGAGCAGGGCATTTTTAAGCAGGAACATGGGGGAACACAGTTCCGGCACCTCCAACACTGAATATATGTCATGGCAAGGGGTGCTGGGCTGATGCTGGCTGCTGGGGGATCTATTGTTGCTGGATGGGGATCTATTTTTGCATGGGGATCTATTGTGACTGGGAAGGTCTGTTTTTGCTGGTGGGGGAATCTATTGTTGATGGGAGGGATCTAGTATTGAGGGAGAGGTCTATTGATGCTGGCTGCTGGGAGATCTGTTGTTATTGCTGGGGTGGATGTATTGCTGCTAGGGTGGCATTTTGTTTCAGGGGGTCCATTGTTGCTGGGGAGGGTCTATTGTTGTGGGGGGGTGTCTATTTTTTGGGGGGAGGGGGGGATCTGTTGTTGCTGACTGCAGGAGATTTATTTTACTGATTTTCTTGTTATCACTTAGCTCCACAAGGGGGAGTTCCTGCACCTGTTCTCTGAGAAGAAAAGCCCTAGCTGGGAGAGAGCAAATATTAGTTCCTATTACAGTCTTAGGACTGCCAGTTAGTGATACTCAATTATCATACTGCAATTTACAGATTTTGCTTTAGATACTAATAATTCTCAACCAGAACAACTAGATTTATCTTCTTGTTTACATTTCCAATCAAAAGTAATCTGTTTGCCTAAACAGGACAAAGGTATTTTTCATTCTTCCTATACAATATATCTTAAGTAGATGAGGTCCCATGGAAGGAATGGGCAGATATAATACAAAAGGATAAAGGTTTATTATTTACTTTGTCTAAAGAACTTCGGAAAGCAGAAATGATATTTAAGTATGAACAGGGCAATCTAATTGAGATACAATCTAATCTAATAAAGATGATTGGTCTGAGTTTTCAGGTCATTCATGGTGGTCAAAGTTTAAAAATACTGTATTAATGTGGGGAAAAAATTCAGCAACAGCAGCTGCTGGAAATGTATTATTACATCCACTAATTATTATATTTATTACTATAATTATATATTTTTTTTCAAATCTGTATTATGATTAGAATGAAACTATTTTATAAATTAAGAATGAAAAAAAGTGAAGAAATCATGTGTCAAGGTCCTACCTTTTCCCAGAGGTTATGTTACTCCATGTGATGGCATCCATCTTGGATTCCTGCTGAGCATGATGGGAATCTTTTATGTCTTCAGGTCTCTGAGGTCCATCCCCCAGAGGGGTGTGGCTGAGTACATATAAGCCTGGGATCTGCACATGCTCTTTGCACTTGTGTCTTGTGTCTTTGTCTTGCTACAGCTCTGTGTATACGCTCGTGACTCTTCTGGTATTCTGACTCGGCTTGTGACTTAGACCATTCTCTGTGTTTCCCTTTGATCTGACCTTCCGTTGCTGAACCCGGCCCGTGACCTGTGATTCTCTGTCTACTGTTCTGTACTGTTTTGTCCCGTTGTTGTTGACCCGGCTTGTCTGACTACGCTATTGTCATTCTCACCAGCTACACGCCATTGGCGGCGGCCATTACCGCAGCCGGGGTGTCTCGGGGGCCGCGACCTGGTTCCTGGCTGCGTCAAGTCCATCCCCACCATCAGGGGCCCTGGTGAAGGGCAGCCTGGGACTTAGACTCCGCGCCCTGAGGGACTTCGGTCTGTTGGTGGTGGTTGTCGTCAGCCAGTGCATTACCCTGCCACTAGGCCTACCTGTCCGTTCCACAGCCCTGCCCCGACATCATGTCAGGTATTTTTAGGCGGAGAATTACCTCTGGCTCAACTGACCCAGTTATGGAAAATGGTTCATCTGGAACAATGATTCAGAGCATGTAAAGGGGCCATGAATGGAGTATGAATGAATACATTTTATATAATAAATTATATTTGAGGGGAATTGAAGAATTATTAATTAATTTAGCTTATAACAGACGTCTGTGTTCTATAATAATTCTGATTCTCCAAAGTCTGTATCTTGAGACTCATCTTGAGCATAAGTCAGTTTAAAATGGATCGTATGAATGGGCTCTATAAGCAGGAGTTCAAGGGTGCCATAAATTCTGTAGAGAGGTCAGTAGGTAAATGGCTTCTCAGACTAAAATACACTGGAATGCAGTAATTAGTTAAACAAGAGATAAAATAAATATCTTTTGTTATGAGAATCTTTTGTAATCTATAATACAGTTAGTCAGTTATTTAATATAATTGGTTAACCAGTTGCCCTCCTGAGGATTTACCCCCCCTAGCTGACCAGGCCTTTTTTTGCTATTCGATGCTGCGCTATTTCAACTGGTAATTGTGCGGTCATGCAATGCTGTACCATAACGAAATTTATGTCCTTTTTTCACACAAATGGAGCTTTCTTTCGGTGGTATTTGATCACCTGTGCGCTTTTTATGATTTGCGCTATAAACAAAAAAAGACCAAAAAGTTTTTTTTAAAAATGATATTTTTTTCATTCGGCTATAAAAAAATATATAGTAAACTCAAAGTTAGTCATAAATTTAGGCGAAAACGTATTCTGCTACTTGTCTTTGATAAAAACAATCCCAATAAGTGTATATTAATTGCTTTTTGTGAAAGATATACCGTCTACAAACGCTATAACGCTGGAATTTACGCCATGTTTTGCTTTACAGTGCTGCGCTAGTTTAACTGACAATTGTGCGGTTATGCAATACTGTACATAAATGAAATGCATGTCCTTTTTTCACACAAATAGAGCTTTCTTTTGGTGGTTTTTGATCTCCTCTGGGGTTTGGGGGGGGGTTTGCACTGTAAACAAAAAAATAGAAAAATGACAATTTTGAAAAAAAATTATATTTTTTCATTTCTGTCATAACAAATATCCAATAAACTCAAATTTTGTCATAAATTTAGGCCAAAATGTATTTTGCTATATGTCTTTGGTAAAAAAAATCACAATAGGTGTATATTAATTGGTTTGTGTGAAAGTCTGAAAGTTATAGCGTCTACAAACTATGGTATACATACTGGAATTTATGCCATTTTTCTTGCTATACAGCGCTGCGCTAGATTAACTGACAATTGTGCAGTCATGCAATACTGTACATACATTAAATTTATGTCCTTTTCTTCAAACAAATAGAGGTTTCTTTCAGTGATATTTGATCACCTTTTTATTTTTTGCGCTATAAAACAAAATTAAAAAAAAAACAATATTTTCTAATTTCTGTCATAAAAAAAATCAAATTTCGTTATAAATTTTGGCCAAAATGTATTTTTCTACATTTCTTTAGTAAAAAAAAAATCCCAATCCCTGCATATTATTTGGTTTGTGTGAAGTTATAGCATCTACAAACTATGGTATAGATATTGGAATTTACACAGCTTTTACTTTCTGGCTCCCTATCACATTTCTTGAGGTGCTAAAATACCAGGACAGTACAAATACCCCCAAATGACCCCTTTTTGGAAAGTAGACACCCTAAGCTATCTGCTGAGAGGCATATTGAGTCCATGGAAGATTTATTTTTTCCCACAAGGTTTTGGAAAATGACAAAAACATTTTTTTTACACAGAGTTGTCACTTAAATTTTATATTGCTCACACATGCCATGGGTATATGTGGAATTACACCCCAAAATACATTTAACTACTTGTACCGGGAATGGGGATACCTCATGTGTGAGACTTTTTGGGAGCCTAGCCACATACAGGAACCTGAAATCCAATGTCCACTTTGAAAGACCACTTCCTCACTACGTATCACAGTTTCAGAAGCCCTGAAATGTCAGGATAGCACCAACCCCCCCCCCCCAAATAGACCCCTTT